CTTTCCCTAAATCCACTGCACCCAAATCTTCTCCCCAAGAGCCCTTACTTCTCCCTGACCCATAAGAGATGAAGAGGACTCAGCTTTATTTGGAGCTGGGGAAATGGAACTACAAGAGGAATCTCCCAATGGTCAAGGGTAGCCCTAGAAATAGGATCCAGAAATTGCCGGCTCCTCATCCAGAGAAGTGCCCACTGGGCAGGTTATCTGTCTCAGGAGACCACAGTGGTTAGAAACCTTGGAAGGGCTCATTGAATTTTGGCCAAAGGCCACCAGCAGTGCCATGGCCATGCCAAAGATCAGGAGTTCTCCCTTTGGATTTGGTGGGGGTCACACACATTGCCCCACCTCACCCCCAAATGCTCTCCTTACCGTGACGTAGGTGTCACTCAGCTGCGCCCAGCCGTACAGGTCCAGGAGGCGGTAGACACTACTGATCTTGCACCGCATGAGCCGCTCCCCCTTGGCCAGGTTCAGGGAATCGGCTGTGTGGAGGTCATTGATGGGCGTCATCATGGAGAAGTCTGCAGGGGCACAGGGCAGCTTTTGGGTCAGGGGCTCCCGTCTGCCCTCCCCTGCCCTGCCCCTGTCCTCTCAGATTCTCACTGGCACTACAACCACACACAAGACTTCAGGGAATTCAACATTCCTTGACCCTGACTCCAGAGGAGAAAATCCACAGAATGGACAGCTGTGCCCAATAAGGTCCTCTGCTCCTTCGGGGAAGAATGGCATTGCTTTGGGTCAAAAATCATGGCCAGACTCAAGGACACAGAATGAAAGCTTCCCAGAAGGCCAAGGTGACCACAAACCCTAGAGATGGACACTGAATAAAAGCATAAATAAATTTCTGAGTGGAAATACGGGTATATTTTATCAGTTTTAATGAAGAAGTTACTAATCATTATCATATTGTTTTAACTATACCATGTAATAAAACTTTTTCTCTAATTTGGAAACAGGGCAGACAGAAAGTCAAGTCAACCAGGAAGTAAATTCCGCAAGTTTTTCTGACAAGTCATGAACTTCCAAAAGTCAGTGTAGCTGTGTTGGCTGAGGGGCTGGAGGCCTTGGGTAGGCCACATCTGCTCCCCTCTGGATATGCAGTCCCTTGGTTAGTTATGGCTCTTTGGGGGAATTTAGAGGGATGTGGAAGTAATATGGAAATGAGCCTAGAGCATTTGATAGTCAGGGCACCCAGAGGGTCTAGGAGTTGACGCTCAGTCTGTCCCATTAACCACCATGACCGCTGCCTGCATGCCTCAGGAAGGCAGAACAGGGCATCTGAGCCCCAGAACTCCAATTAATCAGTGTCTAGGAAACAATAAAAGAATCAATAGGAAAGGGTTCTGGCTTAAAATGATGTCTGGCTGGGAGCCTCCTGATGCTGTCTCTCCCAGCATCCCACTAAAACCGTTAATGGATTAAAATGCTCTTTGGAAGCTTCCACCATCTCTATAAACCTCACTGTCACACCATGTGATGTATGTCCTCTATCAGGTTTGCCATTAGTTGAAATGACGAGACGGTCTGCAAATATGAGGGTGGATTGGGGGCACAAAGCAAGCAGAGCAAGCCTTGAACACCCCATGTCAGGAAGATGCACCCAAAGGGCCTGTGCCCACCAACGGTGGTACGCCTCCAGTGCACGTGTCCAGTACACGAAGTTGACAGGGACAGAAGTGGTCCAAAGACCCAGCTAAACTGGCAAGAAGAGCAGCAACGAAACCCAAGAGTCAAGCGTTTCTAATTCAAACTGACCAACCTGGGATGCCTGCCTCCTCTCTAGTTCCCCAGATAAGTATTTACCTCTTTGCTTCACCCCTTGCAGCAAGCTGGGAGGCATAAGGGCCCCAGCCAAAGCTGGAAGGGAGGGAGGCTGTTGTTGGGAGAGCCTTCAGACCGAGTCCTTTGAATCCTTCTCTTAGAAATAACTATGGAGCCCCAGAGATGGCAGGAGGCCAGAATAGGACTGAAAACACTCACTCTGTCATGTCCTCTGTGTCCTGTATCAAAGAGTCCCCTCCCCAACCCTGTGGAGCTTCCCCATGAGGACTACCCACCCACAGGCCCAGAATAGACCAGAGGGATCCACAGGAGTCCCCAGTCCTCTGTGCTCAGGGTCTTCATAGAAAGAACGCTTATTCTGACCAGCCTCACTAAAGTGAAAATCTAACTGGGCCATTATTTCAAATTACCTAAGAAAACACAGAAAAAGATGAAAATCCACCAACCCCCCTGAAAGCTAAGCCTGAAGCACACACTATTTAGAAAAAAACAACAAAAGCAAAACAACCAAAAAAACCCAAAACCGACCGGGCAAAGAAAATTGTAAGGCAAATGGAGCTGGACAAAGAACAACCTCTCTGGGCTTGAACTCCAGCCACTTGAAAGGTTCCCTCTCCACATTCCCTGACTCAGATACCCTGGAGTGCACCAACAAGATTTTCAGGCATCCAACTTTTTTCCTGGCAGTTGCTGATCAGTGAGGTGATAGGAATGCTGGCCAGCCCTAGTTCTCTCTCAAAAGGAAGAGTATAAGGTCAGAGATATGAAAGTGATGAGAAAGAATATGATATATATGGGAGACAAAGACCAGAGGATCTGGCATATAAGTTATAAGTACTGATATAATAGAAAAAAAAATTCAGAAATTGAAAAAAAGACCTGTATATATAAAAACTGAAAGAACTTACTGCATTTCAGGGGAGAAAAGTCCATTAAAAGAAAAGCCTACAATTATATGCTTCCTGACACAGTCTTGAAATACAAGGGTAAGGGGGAAAATCCACAAGCACCTAGAAAAAAAATTGGTTACCTACAAAGGAACCAATACTAGACTGTTTCAGACTTCTCTGCTATAGCAACAGATGTCAAAGACAATACTATAGGAGATTTACAAAAACTAACAAATACTACAATAAAGTGACACAAAACAGGTAAAAATAAAGGGACCATCAAAAGTATGCCAAGGCAAATATAAACAAAAAGATAAATAGAGCCATAACATGATCAAAGTAGAAGCCAAGGAAAACAATATTCTTTTGGACAGAAAGGATCATTTTGTAGGTCATTTTACATGGATTAAAGGCATAATCCATAATGAAGATATAGCTATAAAAACACGTATACTTTGAAAAGCGTTTCAAGATATTCAAAGCAAAAGCTATCAGAAACAGAGAGAGATGAACAGAAATCAAATACAGTGGGAGACATTAATTCTTTATAAAATCAAAAACAATAAGTGAGGATGAAGATTAAATACTACGTCCCAGAGATAGAGTCTACACCCATATATCATTTAAGTATGTTATTATTAGGGCACAAAGAAAATCTCAATAAATCCCCAACACAGACATTAAGTGGGCTACATTGTCTAAACATAATGCAATAAAACTAGACATTATCAACAAATCTTTAAAAGAATACAAATTCCAACGCTTAGAAAGGAGAAAGCACACTCTCGGAGAGTGTTTATTTTATTTTAGAATAAAAATAAAACCAAAACAGCAACTGCAAACTACCTAGAAATTAACAATAAAGGAAATACTACATGTCAAAATTTATGGGATAAGATCAAATTTATACTCAGAGAAAAAAATTCATAGTCTTAAATGCCTTTACTATTGAATTAAATACGAAAATAAATCAAATTCATTTTATTCTATTGTAGAAAAACATAAAGGACAAAATAAACCAAAGAAGAGTTACGGAAAAGAATTAATGAGTATAAAAACAAAAGCAATAAATCAGAAAACAAGAAAGTTAGTAGAACTAATATGTAAATCCAAGAATTGGCTTATGTGAGAAGATCTATGAGGAAACCAACATCTGGACTGGCCAATAAAGAGGTACTGGGGGGGCTTCCCTGGTGGCGCAGTGGTTGAGAGTCCGCCTGCCGATGCAGGGTACACGGGTTCGTGCCCCGGTCCGGGAAGATCCCACATGCCGCGGAGCGGCTGGGCCCGTGAGCCATGGCCGCTGAGCCTGCGCGTCCAGAGCCTGTGC